AATGTAAAATAAAAATGACAGGATTCAATAACCATCTTTCATTAATAACTTTAAATATTAATGGACTGAACTCCCCAGTCAAAAGACACAGACTAGGTAAATGGATTAAGAAACAAACCCCATTTTTTTGTTGTCTACAAGAAACTCATCTCACTTTTAAGGAAAGACAGTATCTCAAAGTGAAAGGATGGAAAAAAATATACCAAGCAAATGACACAAAGACAAAGCAGGCATAGCAATTCTAATATCTAACAAAATGGACTTTAAAATAAAACTAATCAGAAGAGACAAAGAGGACCACTTCATTTTGATCAATGAACAACGAATCAAGAAGATATTACAACCATGAACATATATTTACCAAACTCTGATGCACCCAACTTCATAAAAACAATACTACAGGACTTTAAGACCCAGATTAACCCCAACTCATTAATAGTAGGTGGCTTCAATACCCACTGTCTCCATTAGATAGGTCACAGGGCAGAGAGTCACACCTTACATCAAATGGACCTAACAGACATCTTTTGATTATTCCACCCAAACACCAAAGAATACACTTTCTACTCAGCACCCCATGGAAATTTTTCAAAAATTTACCACATACTAGGCCACAAAACAAACCTCAACATGTACAAAAATATTGAAATAATTCCATGCAGTCTATCAGACCACAATGCAATAAAGCTTACAATCAACACTGGAAGAAGCCCTAATCACCACATGATCACATGGAGATTAAACCATACACTCCTGAATAATGAATGGGTCAAAAGAGAAATTAAGAAAGAAATAAAAGTCTTCCTGGAAAATGACATTACAACATGACAAAATGAACAAAACTTCTGGGACACACTGAAAGTGGTCCTTAGAGGGAAGTTTATAGCTTTAAGTGCCTACATCAAAAAAATCAGAAAGAACACAAATAAATGACTTAACATTGCAACTCAAAAGGGGAAACATCACAACAGACACCAGAAAGATACAGAACATTATAAGGGAATACTTTAAAAACCTATATGCTACTAAATTTGAAAACCTAAAAGAAATGGACAGATATCTAAAGGCATGGGAATGAAAAAACTAAACCAAGAAGAGATTAACAGCTTAAACAGACCCCAGTTAACCAAAAAGAAAGAAAGAGCACCT